CCCCCCCTGCACCCCCCACGCTACGCCTCTGCCGATACTTTGTTTCCCGAATAAAATGTTTTTTAAGGAAGATTTTTGCCTCGAAGTTCTTTTGATGGGTTTCATCTATCGGAACCATGACATATTCCATTAAATTTTTTTTTTAATTAATGTTTTCAAGTTGTGAGAGATTAAGCTTTTTAGCTGAAATTAGCTGGATATATTTTTATGACAGCCAGTCCAGTCAGATTAGTTTCAGATCCCAGCAGCAGAATTTGCTGGAATTTGTATAAAAGAATGAAGTACAGAGTGTAATACTACCTCAAGAGTGTGTAAACTTTCAGTTAAATTAATTTGTTTGCTAGAAAGAAAGAAAGGAAGGAAAGAAAGAAAGAAAGAAAGAAAAGAGGAAGGAAAGAAAGAAAGAAAGAAAGAAAGAAAGAAAGAAAGAAAGAAAGAGAGGGAGGGAGGGAGGGAGGAAGGAAGGAAGGAAGGAAGGAAGGAATTATGCCAGCAATGTATGCCAAAATGATAACTGATTGCTCATCATACATTCAGGACTTTGTTTTCAGACTGCTGTGCTTTCCCAGAAATCAGCATAGAATATTTTGGATTGGAGACTGGATTTCATGTTTTCTTATTTGTTCTCAGCAAATGCAAACATATTAATTAAATGCAATTTAGCTAAAGTTATTAAAAGGTGCTTTATTTGCACATTGATGGAAGTTGCAAGTTATATAGTTTTATTGATTTTTTAAAAAAATATTTACCACACTCTTTTGGAACTAGGTAACAATGCTAAGAAAAATTAGATGACACTAATAGCTGAGCAGAAGTAGTAATAGCTTATCTCATTTTAGCAATAATTGACTTGAAAATGTTTAACCAACTCTTAACCTTTTTATATCTCAATACAAGCATTTAAAACTAATTTTGATGCACTGTCAAGCCCTATGGATAATTTATTCCAGCAAAGAGTACACTGCATGATTACCATTGAACCTTCAAACTGAAGTAAAAGGAAAAAGAAAAGCACTGATGCATATTTTAAGTCTAATGAACCCCCTCCCCGCAAAAACATCTCTCTAATGATATGAATTATTTATCCATTGGTGTTCCCCTAGTGGTATTAGAAGCAACATCCCCATCTGGATTTAAAGCATTTATGGTACAGGCCCGAGAACTTGATGGAAATTTTCCGGTTGGCATATTTCATATTGTAGATCCAAACACCCGAGGTCTACCATGTGCCAATATGACGGTATGTGTCTTGGTGTTCAGATAATGTATTTATGGTATGTTGTTCTTTGAAAATTTGTTTAACAAAGTCCCTCCATGTGATGGCCCTAGGAACGAGGAAAAAGATGAGCGAACTGTTAAAGAGTTTCCGAATATATTGTTCAATCCCTAAAAAAGAAGAAAGCATGAGAAAAAAACTCAAAAGAATTACACCTTGATTTTGTTTGGTATGTAAAGTAGTAAAGAAAAACTGACAAGATTTTCAAGATTCTGTTACAATGCCCTACAGAAAAGAATATTCTTGAAATCCCTACTCCTCTTATTATTTGACTTTACCTTTACCTTAAATACTCATTTATTTTTGGTTTGCAACAAGTTATTTATTTTTAAAAGATGGGCATGTAACACTGCATGTTAAGAACCAGCCTTAATTTCATTCCCTATCAACAATAGGGAATTAATCATCAATAATGATCAGCAAGTTGCTCCCAATTGCTTTTGCTTGCAAGAGTGACTCAACAAATGGGGCCTGGTTTGTTTAGTGTGGTAACTAAACTGGGATCCCTAACTTCTGTTCTGACCCAAGTCAGTAGTACCGTGTTTCCCCGAAAACAAGAGCCAACCAGAAAATAAGCCCTAGCATAATTTTTCAGGATGCTCGTAATATAAACCCCATCCCCAAAATAAGCCCCAGTTAAGATCGTCAACCAGACAGACGCATTTAGTACTATATTTCACTGAAAATAAGACCTAACTGGAAAATAAGATCTAATGCGTCTTTTGGAGCAAAAATTAATATAAGACCTGGTCTTATTTTTGGGGAAACTTGGGTATATTACGTTTATTGCACAACCATGTGTAAATCAAGATGCTTCCCAAAGCAACCTCGCAGCTCCCAAACTTTCTGCAGTTATGCTGGTAAAATTCAACCCAAATTTCCCTGAGGACAGACTCAGGGCAGCCTCCCACAATCTGTGAGAGCACTGTCCCAAGGATAAGATCCGATATCCACAAAAGCAAGACTCGCAATTCCACAAGGCAAGAGCAAAGTCCAATTCCACAGAGAAGGATCCAAAATCCACCAGACAATAATAAAGTCCAAAAGGCAAGAGACAAAGTCTGAAATCCACAGATCAAGAACAAGGTCTGAAGTCCACAAAGCCAAAGGAGGGTCAAATATCTACAAAGCAAGGTCCAAAGTTCATAAAAGTCAAAGAGAGTGCATTGCAGAAGCAAATGGTTGTTTCTGACAAATGTACCTTTCCCCATGCCTGGCTAAATCACCTCAAGCCCAGTGTTTCTTGTTAGGAGGGGCGAGGCTGCTTCTTCATGAGCAGCTTTGCTGATCTCCTCTGTGCTTCCCTGAGCAACAAAGGTGATTAGGGGACTGGAGGCTAAAACATATAAAGAACAGTTGTAGGAATTGCAATGGGAGGGGGGGCATGATAGCAGTGTACCAATATCTCAGGGGCTGCCACAAAGAAGAGGGAATCAAGCTATTCTCCAAAGCATCTGAAGGCAGGACAAGAAGCGATAGATGGAAACTCATCAAGGAAAGAAGCAACCTAGAACTAAGGAGAAATTTCATGACAGTGGGAACAATTAACCAGTGGAACATCTTGCCTCCAGAAGTTGTGGATGCTCCAACACTGGAAGTCTTTAAGAAGAGATTGGACAACTACTTGTTTGAAATGGTATAGGGTTTCCTGCCTGAGCAGTGAGTTGGACTAGAACAGGGGTAGGCAACCTTGGCTCTTTTATGACTCATGGACTTCAACTCCTGAGCATGGCTGGCTCAGGAATTCTGGGAGTTGAAGTCCATGAGTCAAAAAAGAGCCAAGGTTGCCTACCCCTGGACTAGAAGATCTCCAAGGTCCCTTCCAACTCTGTTATTCTGTTATTCTACCCTGATCTTTGCATCCACGGATTGGGTGGGGATGGCAGCTGTTCCTTATTGGAGGCAGCTGAACCTCCCCTGCTTTTGCTAGGGCAGGCAGCTGACCATCCAGTCGACTGTTCCCCCTCCTCCCATGCCAGACAGAAACAGGACTGCATCTTCCTCAGCCCCCAGGCTCTCTGGACGCTCCTGGGGATTCATGCCACCCCTGTCTGATGGCCCTGGTTCTGGCTCATTTTCCTGCTCTAAACCGGCTTCCGATGGGGCCATCACAATTTCTTACTTTCTTGTCAATCAGAATTTGAACCCAGAATTTGGTCTTACTTTTTGATTCCTGGCTTGTTTAGAAATAATAAGCCGGGTATCTTGGTTTGGACATATTATTACATACGTCTGTATTATTTTGCTGCTCTCAGTTGAAGAACTAAGAAAAAGGATTGGACATATATCACTAATTGTACAGCATGCAGCTTTTATCTATGCAGTGTTCCTTTTTGTTAATGAGCAATGCATGTATAATTGTTTCCACAATTCTTAATTTCATCTCTTTTCTGATTTTCAGAATTCTGCAGTAAGTCACACCAACCCCATTGTAAAGCACAGGATCGCAACAATTTGGGTTGCTCCTCAGGGCACTAGAAAAATAAGGATTATGTAAGTAGTGACTTTCCTGCTTATTAAGGGAGGTTTTTTTTTTAAAAAAAAATCAAATAAAATCTGTGTTTTTGTTCAGGACAAAAGCATAGAATTGAGCAAGAACACACCTGTGAGAAATATTTTTCACTTAATAGGGAATTTTGGCAGGGAAGGCGGGGGAAGGAGAGAAGCAACTTAGAACTAAGGAGAAACTTCCTGATAGTTAGAACAATTAACCAATGGAACAACCTGCCTCCAGAAGCGGTGAATGCTCCAACACTGGAAGTTTTTAAGAAGAGACTGGACAGCCATTTGTCCGAAATGGTGTAGGGTTTCCTGCCTGGGCAGGAGGTTGGGCTCAATGACCTCCAAGGTCCCTTCCAACTTTATTATTATTATTATTATTATTATTATTATTATTATTATTATTATTATTATTATTATTATTATTATTATTATTATTATTATTATTATTATTATTATTATTATATCAGTGATGGACTAAATACATTCAGATGGATAAGATTTTTTTTAAAAACAGAAAGTTTCACGCTTCTAGGCCTAAAAGAAAATTATGACTTGAGGGTAATAGTTGACTTCCAGCTAAAAATAACAACTCTTTGGATTTTCTTTGTTAAAGATCAAGTTAATCCAGATTATGAGCTGAAAAGTGTTAATGCAAAAGATCGTGTGTTTATGACATGACATATCTTATTAGAGAAAAACCTTCTTGTCGTGAATAATATCTCCATTTTTCTCTCCCTCAGGGGAACCTTTGTTCAGGATTACAATAACTACTGGGTTGGTGTTCATAGCAAAACCCTTTCTCCCAGAGAGGTAGACACTAATGTGCTTATGGCAACCAATAGCTCAAAGCTAGCCAATGGTCCCATAACATCCGTGATTTCTGAGATCTCGGCTGATTCTGACACCTTCAGTGACAGTGGTGAAGATATTGAGCTCAACGCCCTTATTGCTGATTCTGAAGAAGAATATGTATCCAATACAACTGTTGGTTTCCAAGATCTTGAAAAAAGAAATACGACAGGCAAAAATAGGAGAAAGGTATCTATTGAACGCCGATGACTCTTTGCCTTTATCTAATTTAATAGAGGGAGATTAATTGAATACCAGAAATACTTTTTTTAAAAAAAAAATGAAGAATATTCTTATTTGTGTATTAAGTAACTATAGCAGTTTGTTCTTCTGAATAATTACTTCCAGCCTCATTCCAGAAATATAGAAAGACTTAGGGAATAGTATCTCATGCTAGATTAAGACAAAACCAAACATTCTCCCTAATGGTGTAACATAAAATCGTTGTAGTATAAAATGCTTCAGGGTTCATAAGGAAAATATAGGATGTAAAACCCCCATCTTTACAGAATACTTGGGCATCCTCTCCTAGATTGATAACATTTTGTACTACAATAATATGTAATATGATTTCTATTATGTAAAATGATAATTCCTTTTACTTTTCTTTTCAGTCATTTCTAACTCGGAATATAAACTGTGGTGAGGTATGAAACTTTTTTCTAAAAAAAATATCTAACATTAGACTATCAATAAACTCTTGTTTTTAGTTTACCAAGAAATGTACCCAACATTATGTTCAGGAAGGGGGTTCGTGTCAGTCTCCAAATATTTTGGACTTCCATATCCTTGACTATGGGCCTGATGGGAGAGTAGTAGTCAAAATATCTTCTCAAAAGTTGTGGGACTTTTAAAAAACAAAAGAGCAGACATTTGCTTTTTTTTTTTTAATTGAGATATAGAACTTTTATCTTATCAAACCACAGAAATGGCACATCACCTGCAGGCAAACCAGAGGCAAAGTGAATAAAATTACAGATGTGGCTCTTTTTTTCGTCTTCAATACTTAATTTTCAGGAGGCACTCTTCCCAACTCATGCAGGGCTCTTGTCAGCTTTATAAAAGGTGAATTGCCAAGATGAAATCAAAAATATAAATAAGATAGTGCAGCATTGGTAAAAGGACATTGCTTGCAGAAAATACAAACATCTTCTAGAAAGACCCGGAGAATGATTTAGCAAAACACTGTAGATCAAGTGTTTCCCAACCTGAACATTTTTAAGATATATGGACTTCAGAATTCTGGGAGTTGAAGTCCATACATGATAAAGATGTTAAAATTGAGAATAAATGTAGTAACAGGAGAAACAAGGACTGATCTGACTAATTCAATACTAAAAATATCTGAAGAAAAGAAAAATATCTGAAGAACCTGTGGCTCTCTAGGATGCTGGGAATTATAATTTAGAAACATCTGAAAGTCTACAGATGTTCCTCACTCCAAATAAGAATGGAAAAACTAAATCAGAAGTGCATATAATGTAATCCACAGACATATATGGCCTATCGGACCACTTTGTTACCCCTGCAAAAAACATGGGCCAAAAAATGTTCACATTTGGGGTGTGTGGGAACAAATTAGGGGTTTTCAGTCTTATGGATGGTATTTCTTGTAGCATTCCACTATTACTTATTGCACTGAACTGTGTGATAAAGGGTAACATGCCAGATTTCAATTAAATCAGGGAAGGATAATAAAATTAATACAACTGCTAGCTATTTTTCCCAAACAAAAGCCTTCAGATTATTTTCTTCTTTTACAATATATATGGAAATACTATTTTTAATAACTTTTTTTCCTTCTTTTTGGAAATTAGGGGAAAGTATCCCAATCAAATACTGGAGCATGTGTCAAAGTAAGCATTTTTCCTGAAATATTTTTTTCTCCGTAAAGTCATCTTGAATTTTAAAATTACTTAGTATAATGAAATGCTGTCAAATAATACCAATTTTTTTTATTAAAAGTTTTATAAAAATTACAATATAAACCCCATACCCCCCAAGCCCCCCCTCCCCCTTCCCCACTTCCCAAAGCTGAACACAGGGTTACAAATATAATAATCATAATCTAACTAACATTAACCAACTATTTAAGTAACCAAGTCCATAACGCGCTTTAACTCCCCTTTAACATAAATTTAAACAAATTAAAATTAAAAACAATAATAAACAAATTAACAACCTAATTGTTAAAGAATACAATATTAATAAATATATGGACTTGGCATGGCTCAGCTTGGAAACCTCTCCCTTTCCCCTCAGCATGGCTGGCTCAGGAATTCTGGGAGTTGAAGTCCATGAGTCATAAAAAAGCCAAGGTTGCCTACCCCTGATCTAGAGCTATATTTTCCTTTGATATTTGGTGATTTAATTTTTGAATAAATTAGATTATCACCCTTAAAGCTTGGAATGATAACAATTTTGAAAGCAAGACAGGGGGATAATATTTCAGTCTATGTTATAGAAAAGCTTGACAATAACTTCTGTTTAGCCTGACGTTCAGTTTTCTCATGCTTTTCTTCCCTATACTTTGGCATATATTCTGGGACTGACCGCGTAATTGAAGTGATCTCAGAGCAGGGATAGAGAAATCCACCAATTTCAGTTTCCATTATCTCTCATTTTACCAAGATCAACTTCAACTCTGTTTTTCATTCGTTCAAATACACATTTTATATACTGTTCATGTAATGTATGATTCTTAGGCAAAATTGCTTACAATATTTCTTCACACATGTTCTTAATTTATACATACGGTATACCTTTTTGGTTGAAGAGCTGCAACGCAACATGCAGAAATGTGCAAAAATGAGAATCTTACATGCCATTCATGTTACGAATGAAAAACTGGATCCATACACATGAAACTAGGATTTAGGTTGGGAAAATCTATTTTACAGGATGCTGAAATGCAGCCAGTATATACAAATCACTTTTTCCTACATAAGCGTCTAATGTGACATTATCCCTGGAAAAAGAAAAATTGCAAAAATTAAAAATGTGATCATGAATTTGAAACATTGTGAACTTAGCTATCTTAGTATATCTTAGCTCTTCCATATTGTTAATATGAGTTCCTTTGCCAAAATTATTTGATTTTTTTTAAATTGAATTGGTTTGAAATAGTGGTAATTCTTTGTAATGAATAGCTCATTTATTCTTTTCTACAAGATCAAGCATCATATAACTACGAAGATGGAATGCTTGTTTTTTAAACGCTTTCTAATTGGTGAAACAATCTCTCTGGAAGAATTGATCAGATTTCTATGGTGCTTTCAGGCATACACATAAATAATACTATATTATTCTCTGGTGTCCATTGGTAATCAAATGTGAATGCTTCATTAGCACTTTAGGGCACTTCTACATAGCATATGCCTACGATTTTTGGCAGCAATTGCTTAATACTGATTGAATGTCCTCATTGCTGTGTTCAGTTGTCCCATCAAGCTAGATAAAGTGCCTACTAGCTGGCTAATGAAGAGTACAAAAAAACCCCCACAGGCAGCTAGTGCCTTGCACCTTCTCTTCTACTTCCTACACCACATTATTTTCCAAATGGAATGGAATGGTTTTTCTTAATTCAAAATGGCAAGTCCAGGTTTCAGTTTGCATACATTTGTGATTCGGACAACCCTCTTAGAGTGTAACAATCTGGCTTACTGTGGTCATTTGTGGAGTATCAGTTATTTGGTATCCCTAGGGAGAACAGAAATGTAGTAATAATCACAGACATTAGCAAAGTAATTTCTAATTTTATGTTATTTTTTTGCTCAGGCTAAAGATGCTTCCTCTCACAACAACAGGTGTTGAGTGGTAAGTGTAAGTTCTTACAGTATTGTGGATTGTATGTCACATAATTATTATCTTTGGTAAATTCTGCTGGCAAAAACTTTAGCTAGTTGATGATTCTGCAACAAATGTAAGCACCTAATCCATCCTTAACCTCACTTCCACTGTTGTCTTGGATCTGAGATAAAACGTGACTAGATCACCTAACAGATCAATGGATCCCTGGATATTTGTCTAGCTTCACTGTGGGCAGAACCTGCCTCTCTAAACAGCCACCATAACTGTTGATATTTAGAAGCTTAACAACAAAAAAGCATAATTTGCAAATAAGAATTCATCTACAATGTCCTGGACTATTCTGTGATTAAGAGCCCTAATTTTCTGCCACAGTTGGAAGTTATGTTGTTAACAGTTGCAGGTTGTGGATTGTATTTATTTTTGAAGTATCTATTCTTTTGGATGCTGTATGATGATAAGCAACATCAGCAATAGCTTTATAGGTAATTCTCACTTACCAAGAGTAATTGGAACTGACTACTGTGTTGCTAAGCAATGTAGTCATAAGGTCATGTGACCCCAATGACTTACAATGGCAGTTCTGGCAATCCCAGTTACTATCATTAGGCAAATCCCATGCAGTCACTATCCCAAGGTCATGTGATTACCATTTGTGATCTCCTGCCAACTTCTGTACTGATGGTTGCAAATGGCAAATGGTAACCATGAGATGCTGCAACGTTGTAATTAATAGCCTGTTACTGAGTGTCTAAATTGTAATAACATAATTGTGAGGATTGTGATGGCTGCAGTTATAAGAACCCACTTTATAAGTACCCCTGGTTCAGCACCATTATAAAGTGGTTATTGAACGAGTGGACATGAAATGAGGGCTATTCGTGCAGCCATTTTTATAGAGGGAGAAAAAAACCAAAAAAGTAAACATCACTGTTATTTTCAATCCAGTGAATCAGGAAAATACAAACATGCTCCTTTCACATATATTACATAGTACAGCATATCATAGGTCACCATATCCAGTGACAATCTGAAAATCTCATAAGCGTTGCAGAATAGAATTACAACAATGGATTAATGCAACATAGGGTAAAATAGCAGAATACATAGAAAGAGATCTGAGAAATATTTATTTCACTGTATGGAAAAGTCTTACAAATCTAAGATGCTGTTAAATCTCATGTCACAGTATCTTCCCTTTATTTTTGTATATTTTTATTCAGTGGAACCACTGAAGTTCATAATAAAAGCAGATACAGTTCTTACAGGAAAGACTTTCACACATCACATAACACATTTTTGTACATAATATTATTTTCACGGACTGCTTCATAGAAAACCACCTATAACTTTCTGGTTGCTGGTGATAACAAACCACATTCTCCTTTTTCTCTTAACTTGTCACTGCTGGGCATACTAGGTAATTCATAGCAGAGACAAAGGCAGCAACTATGGCAGTCCCAGTGATAACAATTAGAAATAGTTTCACCTGCTAGGACAGTGTCTAAATTCCCCACACGTTTGCTGTACAATATCAAATCTAAGTGCACTGGATGATTTATTAATAGTGGAGAAATTGTTTATGGCCCATTGGCCTTACGATATTTAGAAACTGAGGATGTCATTCATGTGAAAATAGTGTCCAGATTAAATTATTTGGACCTGAATTGTTAACAAAAATGTTATTAAGAAAAAGATTTCAATTGTTGTTCAGAGTGGGAGAGTGAAGGGTTAATAAACTGTTGGATGATATGGTTATATTTCTGTGTTACAGATGAAAATATGAAACATACCTGAAGCTGAAGAAATTGTGCAAGTCAAGCATAAGAACAATTTCTGTGTAGAGGAAAGACTGAAATATCTTGCCGAACAACTACTTTGAAAAATTTTCTATCTTTTATATGGTTTTCCTGGCGTATCATGCTATTGAATAAAAATGTTAATGTTGCAAGCCAAAACACTGTTAAGAAAAACAATCAAAATAATATTCATCTTACAGTGTTCTGAACTTTTCCCCTCATAAACTCTCCATGCTCTGATAAATTAAACCCATTGTTTGACACCTGCTTTCTCAGTTTTTCTGCTAATTTGAGAGCTAAACTAGGAACAATGGTGGTCATAGTTTCAGTCGCACTGAAAAATGAGATGCAGGGGCTTTATAACTTGTTCATAAATAATCTTGACATAGAGAAAGCAGTAGCTGGCCAATTGTATAGAGGTAGACCCCAACTTATGGTCACAATGAACCAGGAATTTTGGTTATAAGGCCTTGCAATTATAAGTCAAGGAACCACGTCACCAAATTTGACTTTATGACTATTTTTACAACACTTGAAAAGCAAGTCATTGTGATCATTAAGTGAACCACAGGGTTGTTAAAGAAATCACATGGTTGTTAAGTGAATCCAGCATAACCAATGGGTGTTTTGTTTTTTTTGCTGGAGACTGAAAAAAAACCCCCATCACAAATTACACATAACTGCAGGATGCTGCAATCAGTTGTAAATGAGAAGATGAGTCATAAGTAGCTTTTTAAAAGTCCATTGTAACCCTTGAGGAGCACCCGGAGGCTCCAGCTGGTCCAAAATGCGGCCGCGCGGGCGGTGTTGGGGGGGACTCGGCGCTCCCACATGACACCGCTGCTGCGCGAGCTGCATTGGCTGCCTGTGGCCTTCCGGGTGCGCTTTAAGGTGTTGACTATCATCTTTAAAGCGCTCCATGGCATCGGACCCGGATATCTTCGAGACCGCCTCCTGCCGCAGAGTACCTCCCATCGACCGGTACGCTCCCATAGAGTNGCTTGCAGGACTGGCCTAGGGTAATTTTTAGGGGGGTTTTAATTATATTTTAAATTCGACAAATATTTAATATTCTTTTTAATTAATTTTAAATTTGTATTGTTTTGTATGTATTTTAAATAGATTGTCAGCCGCCCTGAGTCCTACGGGAGAAGGGCGGGATATAAATTCAAATATAAATAAATAAATAAATAAAATGGTGGTTAAGCATCCAGTCATAATTCAAAGACTACTAAAGTCAAAGATGAGCTCAAACAGTACTGGTTGGTCTAAACTAAAAATGATCAACATTTTCGATGTTTTAAATTATACTTGGTCTTATGTAAGAATCTAGCTGAGGTAAATATAGAGGCAATTTTAGACAAAATTGATCTTCCCAATTAGATTCCTTAGAAGAATAATTACTAGTCATTGACTACAGAGAAGATTTAAAAAACAATTTTGAATACAACTAACGGTAATTGGATGGCTTTCCTGTGGAATGGTATAAAACTTGCTCCTCTGCTCTGTTAGCTATATAATAATATTTTTGAGAATAGTATTTTATCTTTATTTATGAAGCACGTATCACAGTTTTTCTAGAATCTACTAAAAATCATGTCCTGAATTATTGTCCTATTTCCATTATTATTGTAAATATTCAAAATTTTAACTGCTATTAGAGTCAATAGCTTTCAAATGTTTCCTTCTTCAGACAAGAATGATCCAGCTGGCTTGTCAAAACTAAATATGATTCAAATAATATTTGGCTGACAGTGGGTTTAATTGATCTCAACCTAGACAGAAAGTTCAAAGCTGCAATTATAATTCTATAATTTTTGTCTTAATATCTTTTTTAGCTTTTTTTTTTAAAAAATTACTTATTTCTATCCCACCACCTTTTGCTGGTCTGTGACCATGATAAAGTTTTTGTTGATTGGTAAATTGAAATGGAAAAAGATTTTGATAAAATATATTGATGGTAAATGTGTGTTACCTTAATTTGGATTCTAGAAGAATTTATAAAATGGGTCCAGATTCTGTATGCAATCCCAAATTTAAAGTGAGAACTTCATGTAATTTTTTATTATATAATGTCAAGAATGTTTACTTTCTTCTTTGATTTTTGCTATTTGTTTAGGACTCTTAGCTAGTGCTATTAAACAAAATAAAAACCTGCTTTGTATGTTAAAGATATTGTTTATTTGTGAATGTAGTGAATTCACAGATTCCAGTTCTAATGCATTAGATTAGTGTATTTGGATTACTTGCAAGATACTCTGTTAATTGGGCTAAGTTGGAATTGATTTCAATAGTCAAAGATTTATTAATACACTAATCCTCATATTCACATACAGTATATACTGAATTTATGGCCATATATTCTTATTCCATGTGATTTCTCAAATAAATACATTAAATATGAACAATATACTATATTATATAAATAAATTTCCTTGGATGTTATAAATAGCTACCTTTAAAATTTGGGGATGAGATAAACACTCTCAAAATGAATCCAACTTCCAGGATATTTTCTATTTTGTGCAGAACTCCCATTCACTTATTTGGAAAACACTGAAAAATATTTGAAACATGTAGTTTTCAGATAAAGATAAAGATGGAGAGTTTTATTTCCCAGATCTTGAATTATATCATTACACCTTCTGTCAGAGTTGGATTAAATTTTGGGTAGGTTCATTTAATCTAAAATCTCCTTCCTGGTTCCTTTTGGAATATTCATACATAGCACCTTTAGTTAACTGGTCTGTTCAGGTTCAAAATACAGATTTATCTTCTGTCAATATTATGTTGATTAAAAATTGCAGTATATTATTTCTGGAAAATTGCATTTTGATCCATTCCCCCCCCCACACACACACCAATTTTATGCTATGATTAAAAACTAACAGAAAAACTGTTATATGGAATGTTTATATGAATTCTGGGGATTTTTTATGTGAGTTCAAATATCAGATGGTAAGCATGAATTGTCTTCATTTTCTGTGTTAAAGGATAAATATCATTTGTCTGTTGCCACCAACTGGCAGTATTTACAATTACAACATTTACTGACAACTTGTTTTGGACCTATGGCATTTCTGAATAATAATCAATACAATTAAATCTTGCAAGACAAAAAAGCCCAGAATTAGTTTTTAATGGATAACTTGTGATCAATACATCAATTTGATATGCAAAGATTAAAGACAGAATAGAACAGAAGGGATTGAAACCCATTTTATCTAAACAAGGCTGAACTGTTTTAACTGTACTATAAAAAAAAACGCAATAGATTTCAGATAATTTATTCCACAAAAATATTTTAGATTTATTGGACCCTGTTGCACTGCATAAAAAAGAAGTAAATCATTGTGTTGCTGTATGTGCAATAATGCTTCATTAAATCACATGTTTTAAGGTTTTCTGGGAAGAAGTAATTACACATATTAATTTGAATTTGAGAGAGGGTTTAATTTTCAGACAAACATTTGGAGGTATAAATTTATATATGGAAACTGACGGACAATGGTAATGGTTTCTCACACCATTTTTATTGCTAAGATATTCTTTCAACCTTTGGGGGGGGAAAGTATGGCCCCCGTTATTAAATGGATTGAAGGCCTGTATGAATGATTATAATATGTATAATGTTTTCCTGAAACTTCTATAAAACTTTAAACATTTGCATGTATAAAAACTGCACACACACACGCACACACACATATTATGCTTTTTTATTTATCTATGTTTTAATATTTTTAAAATAAAGACAATTTAAAAATAAAAGCTACTATGAACAGCATCGCAAGAAAGATTTCTTTAAATGTTTGGCCAGCCATAATGCAAATACAATGCAATCTAGGTAAATATAAAAAGGATATTGGGACAAAAAAACTCTTAACTGCACATGTACAAAGGGCTGTACCTGAATTATCCATGATTTCTAGGAACAACAACATTTGTATAAATAGCAATAGCAATACCAGCCGGTGATATTTGGAGAAGGAAGCAGACATATGAATCAAACATGGAATATGTGTTTTAGATTATTACGTATATTAAATTAGTATTGACTCCCCGCGGTTTATAATAAAACAACAAAATAAGATCAGAATAAAACAGCAAAGCCAGAGTCACTTGATTGAGAGAGACAGGTGACTATATAAATATAATGAATAAATTGAATGAATGAAAATAATATTTTGAACTGTAAAAAAACATGGTGCCCATCCCAATAATTAATAAAAGCCATTCAGTTTCAAATGCTCAGTGGAAATTTTCCATTGAAAAACATTCCTAAAAGACGCCAGAGTAATGGCACCCAAATTTCTGGGGGTGGGTAGGCTATTCAACAAATGCTGCCTTAGTCCCCACACTTCTCCACCTAAAGCAGGGGTGTCAAACTGCCGGCCTGCGGGCTGGATGCGTCACGCGGAAGCCACGCCCACCCCATTGCCGGCAATGGCAAAACAGTCCCGATACGTCACGTGACATCACGAGTTTGATATGTCTGACCTAATGCATGGGATATTCTGAGCCCCTCTATTTGGTCAAGTCTACCAGATGGGCTGGTTCCATCAGAAGAATGAAATCAACCCACGAAGAGCTTTAATGGCTACGGCCATCACTTTGGATTGGACCAAGAAACCTATTGGAAACCAATACAGTACACATAACATTGGTATACAGCTAGTCCTCAACTTACGACTACAATTCAGCCCCAAATTTCTGTTGCTAAGCACGACAATTGTTAAGTGAGTTTTGCCCTGTTTTGTGATCTTTCCTGCCACGGTTGTTAAGTGAATCACTGCAGTTGTTAAATTAGTACCACGTTGTCAAGTGAAACTGGCTTCCCTATTGAGAAGCAAAGATTGCAAAAAATGGTCACATGTCTCCGGGACACTGCAACCGTCATAAATATGAACCCAGTGTTGCCAAGTGTCTGAGTTCTGATCACATGGCCATAGGGATGCTGCAATGATGCTAAGTGTGAAAAACAGTCATGAGTCACTTTTTTCAGTGCTATTGTAACTTTGAACTGTCACTAAATGACCGTTATAAGTCAGGACTGGTTATAAGTG